CTGTGAGACGGGGCGGTTTTACTTGTGTGTATGTGGCCAGATAGAGAGTGATGTGCAGTTAGAGAGACGTGAATCCATGGCAAAGTTAGACTAGATCTCATTTCCCTCTTCTGACCTCATCAAAACCAGGGTAATGGCAGTCACACTGCATTAGATTTAGCAGTCACCACCAGTACACGTGGAGAGGGCTCGATTGTTACACATAGAAATTTGCAACTATAATAACCGGTCCTTATCTCTTTGGGAAAAAGAATGTAAGAAACTTCTGGGAAAAAAAAAACAACAGTTTTTTTTTCCCCCAGGGAGTGAATGAAAAGATTCACGCTGCTCAAGGAAGTGGCTATGAACTCCATTCAGCTTTTGCTGGCACTGGTAAAAAAAGTGGAACATATTACCATTAACTCTTGAAAACAAAGGTCCGGACAAACTGTATCTTCAGTCAAGCCCTGGGGTTTTGCAGGAGTTTGACAGGATGTATGAAATCGAAATTTACCCCCACCTTACCCCTTGCCTATTACTCAGTGGTTGTACTAAGAGGATGATTACCTCCATGCAATAACTTCTCAGAAAAACCAGGGAGGACCAAATAATTTCCCCAAGAGAGTGGATGTTCATCCCTTCCCAGCCGCTGATAGGCTGCGTGATCAACAAGTTCGCTAATTCCTCCTGTGTTCTTCCCCACAATACTTCTGTCTGAAACACACAGACGTTAGCATGCATTTCTTCTGGTAATCTTACCAGGAATATCCTGTAAAGTAAGACAGTTAGAGGTGGAAAAATGGTAGTGAGAGCCATATGATAATGATTTCTAACACTAGCTAAAAGAGAGAAGGGGGGTTTTGCAGACCAGCCAAGGTGAAATTTGGAAGTTGACCCATATATGTGAAGTTGCATAGATCCCTTCCCCTCTCTGAGCATCTTCTCTCAACAATGGTGATAAAACATTGTCCCCAGAAAAAAACCAAAACTGACTTGTGATGACAAACTTTCTTGCATGTGAGTTTGTAGAACAAAAGTTGAAAACCTACACCTGAACCTCAAAACAGAGATAACTTGATTATTTGATTTCAGAGCAAAGGGTGTGCCATAGCCTCTGGCACTTTGCTGTAATGGGATACTGCGTCAGGATAATGCCATGGTGGGTGACATAAATAGGCCTCTGATGTCTTCCTTGATTCTACATACAAATCTTTGCTTGCATGACCCTGCTCATACTCACATCTTCTGTTTCTGCTAGGATTGCAGGGTCCTTAAAATGGAGGGATGCCTCACTCTGGCCTTCTGAGTTGGACCACGTTCTGAAATGGAAGGGAACTTGGAGAGGCATAAGAAAGCACTTACATGAGTTGAATTTTTAAAGGAGAGAGAGTGAGTAATGCTCAGCGAGCGGACAAATTTAAGGATTTCTGGCATCAACTTGATGCATTTTAGAATATGCTGTTTTCAACAGGAATATTGGGTGATAACCGCTCAGTGAACTCTAGGGAAAAAAAATGCAGCAGATGCAGAATCAGAAAGCAGGCATATCAAGGAGTAACACACCTAACTTCGGGGGAACATACCACTAGATGTCCCCTCACATTAAGCAGAGACTAGGTCCTAAATTCAAGAAAGCACTTAGACTCCTGATTTTCCACAGGCATTACATAGAAAAGAGTGTAGGCAGGATGAAGGCACTCTCGTTAATGTAGCTCAACACTTGGCGTAAAGTAAGGAATACTGAGGTGGTGTGGTATCAGTCTTCACATATGGAAAAGACCACTAGAAAGAAGAGTGGAACATTTTTTTTCTTTTTGTTAGTGGTGAGTAAGATGGAGACAACGGCCTTACCTGCATTAAAGGTTAGCTGTTAGGAAGAAACAATGGCTTGCCTGGGACATTGCAGAACCTTCCTCACTGGGGGTTTTCAAGGACAGGTTACACAAGCATCTGTCAAGCAAGATTTAGGAAGAGCCGAGGCTGCTCCAGAGGTGGAAGGAGGACTAAAGGCCTCCTGAGCTTCTTTTCAGACCTCCAATCTGTCTTTGACATGTGACAGTTGGATTGAGAACACCCATTTCTGACAAAACATGAGCGGTGCTTGCCAGGGCCCCAGGAGTTAGTTGTGATTGCCCGCCCAAACCAGAGAGAGTTACATCCGAGGCAGGAAGGAATGCTTCCACCTTCCACCTTCGGTTGCTCAAATGCTGACCCTTGATCTTAAAAGACTGCGACACCTGGGGGGATGTATTGAGGAGAAGTAAACAGCCTCTAGTCAGAAGATTAGATGAATCTGACACTTAGCATGATTCTAAATTCTGGCTAGAAGAAGGGAAGAAGAGAAAGCTTTTAAGGGAGTCGTATTTGGAAAGGAGATACAGCTACTGAGTTTCAGTTTCAAGCACCAAATGTCTTTCTGTTTAAGTGGAGCTGACTGGCTTTTTTCTTGTGCCCTCAGCATGGCTGCCTACCTGGTCCTGGCTGTCTTCAGCAGCTCCACCTCCTCCTGGCCTGCTCCTGCAGAGCCAGCCTGCCTGGCGCTGAGGCTGCAGCATCCCATGCCTGGTCACCAGCTCCCCCGTCCTCGGATGCTTGCTTCCAAGTGATGCTGCAGTCACAGGATCCCATGAACGTGTCTGAACTACCGTCAATTAGAGTAAGCACAGGAGGGGAAGGAAATGTGCATGTACCCTTCAACTTACTGCTCATTTAAATTCCTCTTGGGTTAGAAGCAGCTGCGTCTGAGATGTAAAAGCATTTCCTGTTGGTTTTAAACCTCTCTGCCTTCCTGGCTGTCTCCTTGGTCCCCCCAGCGTCATTGTTTCCTGCTG